AGCAATGCGAGTTTTCTCACGAACAGATGCACCTTTTCCTTGTGTTCATGTAAATTCGGTAGCTTATTGATGGAGTTCTAATGGTTTTAATTATCTACTTGCATGCGCAAACAGATTCACGAGACAACCATTAGCAGTAATAAAAACTGGTATCACAGCCACACAACCGCGAGACCTGGTATCCAAGTCCAAGCCGGTTCACAGTAGTCAACAGTGACACGTTGTGTATATACCCAAGTATAACGGCACCTGAACTCACCTCTAGGTAAGATATGATGAAGTAAAGTTACCACTTAACTATTCATTTATTAGCTAGATTATCATTAACTTTCGCTCCAGATCATTATCAAAGCACAGTCGGTTTATATGCTCATAACGTATGACCCAAATATCAAGAGAGTTAGATCCCAATTCAAGTACCAACATTTTATTTGCAAGTTGAAACCGATCAACCTAAATACATTGTTCCGATAATGAATATGGCAACTACACAACAAACCTTCAAGTTTTAGGTTTCCGGAGTAAACATTCCAAAGTGCCAAGCCAAAACTGTTAAGATCCGAAAGCGTCCAATGTCAAAGTTATTGTAGTGTCAGCTGGTATGTTAAGCACATATAACTTATTCTAGCCTCTGGACAGGCCAAGTTATCGAGTGTTCTTGAATCACATTTGGACCTATCTAATTATTCACTTATCAAACGCGACTATCGCCATACGAGCGTATATGTGTGTTCACTTCTTATCCTACTCATCATTTGTTTGTAGCTTATTTTTGTGTAACTATAAATATTGATTAACGCTTGACTAAATGAAGTTGGCTCATTCGCCTTCTCCACTGCGCGTCATTTCGTTTTACTCTCTTCTCTCCGCTTCCTTCGTTTCGTTCCTCTGATTTCCTGTTCAGATCAGTAAGTGTACATTCAAAATTCCACTCTCGTATTTGATTTATTTAATTCCGTTATTGACTAACGCAATTTAATTCAATGATTATATACGAGGATTGACAATATGTATATCTGAATATCAATCATTCGTACGATCCAAATGGAGTCAGATAAGGTTCCCATTAAGGTATAAACAAATACGTTCAAAGTCGAGTAAAACAAATATATTCAAAACACAGTGAAATAAACTATATCTCATGTAACAATCTTTGATCACTTAAATACTTACAGTTCCTCCTGTACTGACCTATTCAAGGTAGTCATAAGAAAATCTAAACATTTCGTCACGCAAAACATGAATTTATGGACACAATAAGTACTGATAGACTGAAACCAACTATTTTAAATAATAAATCATAAGTGATGTGAGACTGTCAACCAGACAATATAATTAGAGGATTAAAAAAATCAGCGAAAATCATTCGTATGTTATCAAAGGATGATTCAACCTGAGATACCTAGATATTTATCTCAACCCTATAACCCCACCATATTTACATCGGAAGGCTGTTGTTGTGTGCATTAAAAATAACATGAGTAAATTATTTATGCATATCTTTTCGTTATCTTTTTAAAATACAGAAATAGTATCGAAATAATAATAGGCTTAAGTAGTATTTTGCACTAAACTCCTTGAACCTTTCATTTTGTGTATTATAGACCTTCGAGACAGACTCTTCCTTATCCCTTTAACTTTAAGATATCTCAAGAAGTAGGTGATAGCTGGACGGATCGCGGGAAAACCGTACTTCACCAACAAGATGTTGAGAAGTTCAGCCGCGACATGCCCTCAGATTTCTATATTTCGCTCTTGTGCCTTTTACTGTTTTACCACTGATGACTGGCACCCATATGACAGGTAAAACACGATATGTGCGACAATTTGTAGGAAGAAGTATCTCTTTAATCCCCAACGCAATGTGTCATTTGGCCCTCTCCTCTCCCTTTGCCTTCAGGACTCCAAGTTCGGGATTGTGTCGCGATGCAGCTTGATGATTTCCGGAATGTTTGTCCCACATATCTTCAGAATCTGGTCCTAATATCGTCTTCATTTGGAATCTGGTTTGGCCTCTCTCAGAGTGGCTTGTTGCTAACGTCATCCCGCGAATAGATGTTGAATATCTTGCGTAGGCGACTGCCCGTAGTATGCGCTCCGTATGATGTTGACAATCTTCTCGGGTATACCAAAGTGTCGAAGAAGGTTCTATAAGATTCTCCTATTCGTGCCGTGTAACGCTTCCTCTTAGTCAGGGAACTTGATGTATAGTAACGTATTCCACTCATCTGACTGCTCAACAATTTTTCGTATTGTAGCGATTGGTTCTGTGCACGGGTGATCCTTACGGAATTCAGTTTGCAGATCCGGAATTCGGGCACCTGTTGAAATTTTCGGCCGGCTCAGCAGCACTCTGTTGAAAACTTTTCCAGGTACTGGTTATATTTTCAAAACTAGGTCATTTTGGAATAATGAATAACTGTTTAGGTTATTTTGGATATAAACTAGCGCGCGATTAAAACCAAAACAAGGTAATTGGGTTCATGGTGGCAAAAAATTTCGTTACATCCTCAAATGTACATTATTACCTAAAAAATATTTCCAGCCAGTTATTCAACCAATAATTGCACAACCAGTAGTCAAATCATGTGCAACAGATAAATGTTCCCGTCAATACTTAAATGTTATTCTATCATTTATGGATAGACCACATACAGTGTTACAGGAGAACTGAAAACATTTGGCGGATTAAAACCTTTTTTATTGTATATTAATAATTTACTGTGTTTTCGGGTGTGTTTGTTTTACTCAACTTTTGAACTCGTTTGTTTATATCATTATTTCGGACATTTTGGTTTCCCTTTGTCGTTGGTAGTTTTGCTCCGGGAACCTACAAAATTGAGGGTTTGTTTTGTAATTGTTATAATTATTGTTGTTAGAACGACATTTGATCGACTATTTGTGAATTGCGAATAAACTTGGTATCTAAGTTGGAGTTTGGTCCTGTTGTTAATTTGGGTTCGTAATTTGCAAGTAGATCTATAGTCCATGCTTCAATAACTGGGACGAGCAAAACTTGGGCGTAACATGCAGATCATTCGAATGATAATATTTAACTTTGCTACGTATATATTGGAGGGATTAATATATCACCTAGGACCGGTGGATGGAACGAAAGTCAGTAACATAACAATAGGACTAGCTAATCCATTCGACCGCGCCTCAGCCTTGCTAACTAGTGGTAAAAGACCAGATTTAGCAGGGAATTATATACTCTACAGTAAGCGCAGGAGAAAGAACAAGCAAGAACAGAACTCACGCGTATATACACAACACAAAAGTGCCCATGAAAAACATCACGAAATAGCGTACTAAAAGAGAAAACCAGCCAATCGTATTTAAGATTCTTCCAGGTAGGAAATGCAAACTGAGGGTAAAAATGGACACTTTTGGAGCACAAATGCGAAATTTAAATTCAGTAATAAAATTACGAAAGTGAGAGGTTTACTAAATGATTTCTGGGGATCTAGCATTCACAGATGTTTTAAGGGTTAGAGCATCCAGTTCTGGAGGAGTGTTTCAATTCACAATCATAAATGCACATTCCCAGTCAGTTCAAGCAACGCAATAAAAAAGAGAAACAGATCAATGTGGCTGCCACCACAACTAAATATTAACTAAAGCCACATGACAATTCAGTGAAAACGTAGGGAAAACAAAAGTTACGATAAAATGCGAAGTGTACTATCTCAAATGGAATCAAAAGATCAACAAAATATACAGCTTAACGGATCAGGGAGAACAGGTCACAACAGGGTGTGCGTGGAGAGATTTACGTACACAAAGCTTCCGATTAGATCCATATAGCTTTGTTTATGCGTTTGTGTAGAATTATTGTGCCGCCCATATGATGTTGAGGCAGTAGAGAAGATTTGTAGCTCAAGTGGATGGTTTTAATGAAGTTTTGTTGATGACGCCGTTCAGAGGAACAGTGTTAGCTCCATGACCAAACCATTCAGCTCAGAGAACAAAACTCCATGAAAATACTATGCCACCTATAACCAATTTGTTGAACGCTAATAGATTTGCAAAGCTCTCTCCATTCTCGTTCCTTTATCCCAGTCCATGTCGTCCAATGATATCTTCATAACCGTTGTTTTTCATTCCAACTTTGGCGTTTATATCTCCCATCAGGATGGTCAGGTTGTTTTCCGGGCACTTTCCTATGATCGATTTCCACCTCTTATGAAACTGATATTCATCATCTTCATTACTATCACTGGTGGGTGTAATCGATGTATATATGGTTGAATAATGTTAATTTATTCGGCTCTCAACCCCCCTCTGTACTTTCTAGCCTGCATTAAAATTTCTGGTGGAATTCCCCGTGTGTGCTTGTGACTTCGTGATCTGCGCTGTTCGATAATAAACTATATACATATCGTCTGAAATATATACACTGTTAGTATTTATATAATAATGGTTACCAGGAAGATAGATATGCGAAGCATCAGACATTATCTCGAAGATGTCACACTACAAATTTTTCAAGTGTAAATAAAGCAAACCACTAACTTTCCAAAGGTAGATTTGAAATAATTCATGTAATTAAAAGCGAAGGCGCCTCTTTGTTATTGAAACCCAGGAGATTAGCTCCTGATAAGCTTCATGTTATAGCTGAAGACCTTCCATTCCTCCCCTAAAATCAGTCACATCACCCTTACACATGGTCTCAGAGAAAAGCGAAGGTAATAGGCTGTTATATGAGGAATAAGATCTTACCCGTCAATCTGTACCAGATAGGTAACAGTTGCTATGAAGTCAAATATACCGACCAAAGCAGAGAATGAGTTCAAATGAAACAAAAAATAGTGGGTTTTGGTGCTCAGAGAATGACTGAATGCCTAGTCAAAAGGGGAAACATTTATGTTCAATTAAAAAGATTTATTTTCGATAATTTCAAGACAAATAAAAGAACGATATAAACCAGTGGTCGATTTCTGTTAATGCATAGTAGGTAGAAATTTAAATCTTTATAGTTTCGGTGTTTGTTTTATTTTACTAAGACGTAGGGCGGTCCAATTTGTGGTGATTGTCACGTTGTTTTTGGAATCCTATTTAGCATGGACCCTAGTAGGGTAGTTGAGGCATTAAGTAATACTCTGTTGGCAGAAAAACAAGGAAATGGAACAAAGATACTTGATGAAGTAAGCGAAGCTACTTATTGTTTATTTCCAGATGCATAAAATTATTGGATTTGTTCCCACTCTATTGAAAATCATCCTTGAAGAGAGTATTGATGTGGGAGTACGACAAGCAGCAGCTCTCTATTTTAAAAACAACATCTCTGAATGGTGGAAGCCCGATGAGTCAGACGAATCTGGTGAATTAAGATTTTGTATACATGAGCAAGATAAACAGGCAATCAGAAGTTCTATTGTAGCAGCTCTTGTCTCGGCGCCAATTCCTTTTCAGTAAGACATTTTTCTGAAGTAACTTCTTAAACAAGAACTCATCTCCAGGTTGCTCTTTCCAAAATAATTAGGCATGATTTTCCTACTCGTTTTGAAGAGTTCCCTGAACAAGTAAAGCATTTTTTAGAATCAAATGATCGCTATCATCTTCGAGGAGCTCTTCGTTGCCTTTATGCTTTTGTTGAAGTGTATACATACAAAAAGAACGATGAACGCGCAAATACGGTTTCCACGATGCAAGTTTTTTTTCCAATCTTATATTCAACGTTGTCGAGTCTCATTGTTGAAGAATCCGAGGATTCTTATGTACTTCAAACGCTCATTATCAAAATATTCTTTTCATTTATAAATTACCATTTCCCACTGGATGCAATGAATAAACAGGTATGTCATTTATTTCTTACTCCTGTTTAGTTATTTACTCATTGGATTGATATGTTCTGTACTATACTCGGTGATTTCAAAGTGACTCATTCGGACACTTCAAGTTCAACCTGGAAACGGCAAAAATGGGCTTTAAAAATACTTAACAGGGTTTTCACCCGGTATGATGCGTAGAAATCACTAACTCCTTTCAGTTATGGTAGTCCTGGCTCAGTCATTAAGCTATATCAACCATTCGCTGACTGGTATCTTAAAGCCTTCTCAGGGCAAATAATATCAGTACTTCTGAATATATGTGAAGCATACAGACAAAAATCATTCGTTTCCAAGCCTGTGCTTAGTCAAACACTGGACTATTTTTCTTCGGCGTAAGTAAAACACAATCCAACTTGTTTTTGTAGACTGGCTAACTCATTTTCATGGAAATTGCTACGGCCACACTTCTCTCTTTTGGTCCGTGAAGTTATATTCCCGCTAATGTCATATACTGAAGAAGATGCAGAATTATGGCAAGAAGATCCAGTGGAATACATTCGAGCAGAAGCTGGTAAGATTCTTTCTTTTTTCTTCATTTTCAGGTGATTGGGGATCAGTATCTAGTCCAGCAAGTGCGGCGTCTACGCTTCTAAGTGAAGCATGTGTTAAACGACGTGGTGTTCTCAATAACATAATGCCGTTCTGCATTCATATATTAAGTTCCGAGAGTTCTCCTATTGAGAAGGATGCTGTTTTGCACATGTACATAGCTATAGCTGAAATCTTATTGAAAAAAGCTGCATACAAGGTATGTTCGACAACACTTATGTACTTATCTTTCAGTCTCAATTAGAATCATTTCTTGTAGGTCATGTCCTTCCGACTTTGCATGCTCCTGAAGGATATCGTCGTGCTAGGGCTTATAGATTGCTGGAGAAATTATCAGAGGCTAAATTCAATGACCAAAATATATTTGCCCAAGTTGTTGATGAAGTGAGAAAAGCTGCATGTTTTGATTCGGAATTGCCAGTTCGTGCGTTTGCTGCACTCTGTCTCTCAGAATTAGTTCGGTGTCAAGAAGCTGGTGAGTTAAGCGTGATTATTCTGTTTATTAGAGATGTGTACAGTTCATGGTACTCCGGATTTATGTTTATTAAAAAGTTTGTTTGAATTCTTAAAACGTCTGAATTATTGATTAAAGATGTGTTCTTAAGACACTGGCAGCAATATAGTTCATTTAAACTCCAAAGAACAGTTGTTAGGAGAATATTTAACTTGGTTAAACTGTTGTGACAGGTCTGTTCATAGCTACCCACTACACCCTCAAATTGATCTGTAGTAATAAGCGTGTGTTGAAGCTTAGTTTCTGTGTAGAGTGTTTTAAAATTTGAACTGGATGGCTTCTGAAAGTTCATTTTTTCATATACGACAAGCCATCGCATTAGCAAGACAGTCTACTAGTATGTATGTACAAATAACTCGGGTTACGGTAACAATACTAGTTTTTTTCTATCTAACAAAAGTCCATTAGGTCAGACTTTACAGATTGGTGACCAATTTGCTTAGTGACATTGTGACATAAGAATTACATGAAACAGCAATGCTCCAGAATCGTTTAACACCTTATATGTACTATGAAAATATCTTGCTTTTGCTGTAACTAAAAATTTATTTTCTTTCAACTTCATTTAGCTCATCAATTTGTGGCTCCTCATCTACGCGAACTCTTGATACGTGAGTGATTTTATGAAAATTAATTGGTAGTTGATTGTTTTTCATAACTATCTTTTTTTAAGGAGGTCCTTTCTAGCAGCGATTATGGTTTTCGAAATGCTTTGCATACCAGGTTTCCTCTTAGTTTGTTGGTTCACTTACTGCGATAACTCATTCCGTTTGTTGGGTAATAATTAAATCAGCGTTCACCAGGTATTGGGTATAAAGCACACTAAGGGTGGGAAAGAACGATACTACCCGATTGTCTAGACTAAAGTGGACGCGACAGGGCTCAAATTTAGGACTTAGTTATTAAGAGTCAAGTACATCAACTACTAAGTCACTGCTTCATCTTCTCTAATATCGTATGGATTTGATTAATCGTAGTTTTTTGATAATTGCGATTTGAATGTGACTTACCAGTTTTTTGTCCCACAGGGAGATGCTTTTAATAACATGCAATTACGAGAGCTCAGTCGATATTTTTACTAGGCACTGTTTATAACTTTCATAAAGGGTTTATGATGCCTTGTTACGTTAAACGTAGGGATATGCCCACAGGATCCTGAGCATTTGTTTCAGTTGGAAGCTCTTATAGTATGCAGGCGTTTTAGCGGAACCTTACAGATAAGACCATGCTTTCAACAAAACATGTGGATTACCATTCTAAATTCTTGGAAGATTTCAGCCGTAGTTAAATTTCTTAGTGTATTTTAACGGGGTCATAAATATACCACATTTAATGTTTTCACTTAAAAGTATTGAAAAGTCACTAAATAACAAACCTTAAAATATGTATGCAGTCCAGTTAGCATACAATAGGACGAAATGGCCGTCCAGTGCTTCCAGGTTTCCAAAGGTGGTGGTCTAACATCAATCGGTTCATGATCTCAATCAAAAACTTAATAATCTCCACAACCCCTATACTAGCATGCATTAGTTGGCATAATATACCTGGTTTTGATTTCAGAAAGTAACAACCCATTTAGGATTCCCGGTAGAGGTTGTGTAAGATTTCATGTGACTTCCGGACCATTCTATAATTACTAAAAGCAAGTAATTTCCTAAAGTAACTGTTTTTTGGTATCCTGTGGTTAAATATAACTCTATGCACTTTAAAGCACCCAGTTTATATCAGTTGCAGTAAGTTTTACGTATTTATCATCTATACCAAGTTTTTGATCCTAATTTTTCTCTTTGTTGCTTAGTAAGTGCTAATGCCTGTCTAAACACATGTAAAATAAATTTAATATGGCTGTTTCTCCAGTGAACCGAGGAGTTAGTTGAAACTATATTTACTGTCGTTCGATACCAACGATTCATGTACGAGCACATATGAATCAGACGCAAAACAGTGTGTGTTTAGGGGCTTGAATTGTTTGTATCATGTCTTATGACCTGTGATTTTTAATATAGCGTTGTAAAACAATCAACATGGTTTTGTAGAAATCTGTACATTTTATTATTTTTTGTGCACCTAAACACCATAAATTTCAACAAGGGAGGAAGTTTAGATAGAGCATTTCTTTTTCCTGTGTTTCATGTTGAGCAAAACTAATAGGTTCTGCTACTCCTATCTATCTGAAAACGAATATACTCTTTATTTAGGTAACTTTGTTAGATTGGACTAGTAAGCAGTGCAGGAAGCTGTTTGCTAGAAATCCTTTTAGCTCAATTTGTCTCATTATTTTAGTAGTGTAGATCTTTGTCTCATAATATTTTGGCAGTTTTATTCATAGTACGTTCACTTTCAGGTTTATTGGAGCTTCTTCGGCAAACTGAATTCGACGATTTAAACAGTGTAATCGAAATATTAATACATACATTTGAAAAAGAAATAGTTCCAATCGCTTCTGAAGTTATGCAAACATTGGTATGTTTTAATCAACATAACTGTTATTCAGTTAATTGTTTAGCCTGATTTTTTAGGAAAGGGTTTAGGTTTACATTTTTCTAATTGAATTTTGGTGTCTTTTTTCCTCCAGTCAGATACGTTTCATCAGCTCGTTATTAAATCCGAGTATGAATTAAATAGGGAATTAATCGAGCTTGAGGATACAGAAGATCTCTTTGAGTACCGGTCAATAGTTGCTACAAGTGTTTTAGATAATATGGAGTCTATTCTGCAAGTTGGTGAAGATAATGAAAACCTTGTTGCTCAGCTTGAACCCATTGTTGTGCATTTGATTCAGTCTATATTCAACCATAAATTAAGTGTGTTCTTTGATGAAGCTCTCACGTTCATTTTCTCGCTGACAACTAACAAGATTTCCCCACTTTTGTGGCAACTTTTCGATCAACTCTATCCTGTATTCAAAAAAGATGCTTGCGAGTGCTTTTCCGGTAAGTATTTTATGCATTTAGACCTCAGATAAAATCTGTATAATACCCTACTTTTTCAGCAATAATTTCCCTCCTAAACTCCCGGTAAATATATGATTTAGGCTAATTTCGTGTACTAGACTATTGGTCATATTCTCCAACAAATGGAATTACCAACTGGCTATTTGATAATTATGGGTTAAAAACCTTGAAGACTTAGAAAACTGATGAAAGCTCTAGTTGCATAATTCATTCTTGTGTCATATTATTTTATTACTAGTAGTATGTCGTTGGTTTCCGTTGTGTGATTAACATTTATTTATATTCCCAGAGCAAAAAATCACTAACTGACGTAATTGACTTGAAGTTTTCAAACGTCATGCTTCACAAAATCAGTATTAAAAGATTTTCGTGAAGGACGTTTTGGGATTAGACTCAATTAACTCAAAGCAAAGTTGAGTGAAGTGATGCAAACCAATTTCCTTATGTTTTAAAACTGAAAGATCCCATTGTGTCAAAACAGACTATCCTACTAAACAATGATTCCTAGCTGTGGTACGTAGTAGCAAATAAAAGTCGTTTCATTTTATCAAGATTCTTCTTGTTCATGTTTATGCTTGATTGGTGCATATTATTTAGATTTATCTCAATCTTATTATAGGTCTGCTCCCTGTTGATTTGGTAGTTGTTAAGATTGAAACTTGTATCCTCAATGTAAGCAAAATCGTTCATTTGATTCTCGAATTAGTGTCAATTCTTTACTAACTGATATTCGACAAAGTACAAACCGTGTTTTTATTTGATAATTTTAATGTTTAATTACTTCCCTTGAAAAGCTTAGATCAGATCGCCGAGCTAAAAGTTGGATTTGTTTGAAATTCAGTTGCTGAGTTTTTGCAAGTATGGTTTTATTTTTAATGTCGTACGTTTACTAAGTGCCCAACTAATGTAAAACTATTCGTCCAAATTTAGGCAAAGTGCTTATAGAACTTCTATCTAATTTCTGTTCGAAATTTCTCACCACCTTAAAGTTTTTTCCTGTCTATATTGTTGTTTAGAAATGATGCCCTGTCTACATAATTACATAACAGTGGACCGTGAGGCTTTCCTGGCAAATACTTCACGTATTGAACAAATTACTGCTATGTGTTTAGAGGTAGATATTACAGTTAATTCACTAATTAAAAAATTTATGAAAGTTTCTGTATTAAACTGAACAAAACCAATATTTCTTATTACAACTATTCATCTTCAGTTGGTTTAGACTACTAGGCAAAAAGTATCAGGCGTACGATTAACATCATTACACTTCTCTAATGTATTTCGAAAGAGTTTGCTCTATTTTACTTTGTGGAATTTTGCCTTCAGAAATAGAGGACGTTCGTAGGTTGCTGTTGTTTGCTATATATAAATTCAATCGCTATATTTTATCGCAAATTTATTGTGAGTATATTCCTGTTCCGTAAAAAGATTTAGTCGCACTTTAGCTTATTTGACTTGCACACCCAGTGATCTTAATGGTTCTGCATTTTTCGTGAGACCTCATAGTACTGAACTGGATTCTTGGTGTAGGAAGTGATTAACTAGAGATAAATTTCTTGAATATGTCTCTACATTGTCACACATAGTCTTAGCAGGGCTATAGTCAAAACAGATAACGATATATATAGCCCACAATTGTAATCCGTTTCTAAAATATAAATTAACACAATTAGTACAAAAAAACGTAGTGGTCATCTACAGAGAAAGCCGTAAACACATGCATACCGAATAGTAACGGAGACAACGAAAATGAATAAATATGTTTATGTAACTGGTACAATTTCATGATTGTTAATTAAAAAAAGGGCTAGAGTAATAAATAGTCTGGGATGAAATGAGTTTTAAGCGTTTAATACAAATATTATTGGTTTATTTACTTTTCAATATAGTGAAAATTCCCATTTTGCCATTTTGTAAATAAAGAAGGAACGAATTGAGCGAAGAAAACTAATTGAAAAGAAATTTCTTCGCTCAATTCGTTCCTTCTTTATTTACTTTTATCGATAGATTGACACCCTTCTCCTGAAACGACCACTACGTCGTCAGCATTCTTTTCTGTAGGACCATCTAATTCTTCGGGTAAACGTAAATTTCGTACTTTAAGGATAATGATTTCGGTTGCAGTTTTCTATCAAGCAGTCGTGTTAGGCCCACAGTTTACCTGCTTTGACCATAGCACTCCTCCCCTCGTGATAAAGTCGTAGAGGTGTCAACAACCGCCGATCTTTCGACTCGTTAAACAGTGGGTTGGCAATAGCATATTAAAGTATATTCGTTTGTTCTCTTAATGGCAAGGGAGTGAAATTTAACTTTATATCTTCGTCAGGCACGGTCTCTGTCAATTTTCTCTTCGTCAATAGGATATCGTTCGCTTGTAAGTATAAGTCTTATATAGCAGTCGGTGTTCTATTTACGCAACCAGGTTGCCTAGCGTCATGACTAAACTTTTATCAGCCTTATTACTGATAGTGGTTCATTATCTTCTTCAATCCTCTATTCCATCTCTTGCAAAGCTGATACATTCCATCCAATCAAAAACTTGACTCTGTCGTTTCTAACCTTAGGGAACTTTACCTTAAATGAACCCATGAAGACATCTGAAGCGAACTGTCCTATATATTTAGGTCAACATTTTTAGCTATCCGTACCTTTAGAATCCGAATTGACAACGTGGAATCTAGTGGTGAGCGTTTAACTCAAATATTGTCGGTCGATTCACTTATCGATAGGGATTAACAATTGATTGGGTCGTGGATGCACATAGCGTGGTGATCCGGTGGTTATGGCCTCTTACTCTCATCCGTCAATTCGCAGATTCAAACTTTGCTCTATCTATGTTAGTTTGGACAACCAAGTAGTAGTAGTAGTAGTATCACTAGCCCTCATATTTAGAGTGCAGTTCAAAACCAAATACATGAATGTGTACTTGATGAATTAGCTAAATAAATAAATAAATCAACACATCTCTAATCTTTTTAATCCCAGTAGGTTCTTTATACTTTCCAAGTTTGGACCGTTACATTATAGTTTTTTTATCGTTAGTCAATAAAAGGTCGTTTTGTTTATTCTCTATTGCATTTTACTTTACCTAATATTTGTCTCCATAGGTGTTCTCAATGGATGACCAAGAAAGACTACAAATGCATGCTGCAAAATTACTTGAAGTTATTTTACTTGATTATCGAGGTCAAGTGAATCAGTATGTACCAAAATATGTTGAGCTAGCACTTACACGTCTTACACGCCCGCTTGTTTCAAGTGAACTTAGAACACTCTGTATGCAGGTAATTTTTTTTTCGGAAACATTCGCTTAAGTTTATGTTCAAGGTAAAAGGGTCTTGGTTCATGTCATATATAGCCTAATAGAGGAGTGAATGGCGCATAAAGTTGCACTTATCTCAGCGAAACAACTAAAAAACAGATTTAATGTCTACCTGCGATTTCAGTTTTTCGCCATAAACTGGTATCAGTTAGAGAAAACTACTAAAAATTGACAATCACAAAACAGCCGCTTCTCTCTGGTTTGTGAGATAGTTTTTCATTGTAGGAAGCTGTTTGCAGATTGGAAACATTTCTATAAACTAATGATTTGAGTATTTTAAATTATGAACGAACTATGTGGTACGTCCTCTACTTGATTACGGTAGAATACGATGTACAACTAATGGGACTCCAACATGTAGAACCTCACACTCGCAAATCAGAAGATAGGAGAACGGTAGGAATCAAAAACAGAAAAGAAAAACATGGGTTATTAGTCTTGACTATAGCATCATCATAATTTAGCCAATCCACAAGGAGGCAAGTTATACTATTGTCCAATCGTGGCATGCCACGTTAGTATTCTAGAAGGCTGTATCAAGTTCTGTTTGGATGGAATCTCTGGCTCCTATAGAGCCTCTTGTGGCCTCGTCGTGCTTTTCTAAGCCATCTTGACACTATGTTACCTACCCTTTTTACCATGATAGTTTGGTTTCTAGAACGATATTGACTGTTATTTTTCCCATTACATCTTACCCATGCTTCGAAGCTTCTAATTATTTCCATTGCCAACGCTCAATTACAAATAGATTGTTTCAGTCTGTCATCATATTTGCATTCTATTATTCAACTATTTCGTGCAGAACTTGATAAATTAACTCATCTAAAACAATCTGTAATTTTCCCGTTAAGTAATCATTTATTTTAATAACCTTATTTATATTAACAATCAGGTGGTAATTGCTGGATTGCTTTACTCACCTATGGATATGCTCCATATGATGATCGAGCATCCATGGCCTGGGACAGAGGTTAACATTTTGTCCGAATTCCTTAAACGATGGATTGAAGATGCAGACTGTTTCCTTGGGTAAGTGGTTTTTTAGTTTAGTTGTTGACTAATATATGTGCATAAGATTGTTTAATTAAAAAAGTATGGTGTCTGCTTGCTTCGTACTTAAGAAACGGAGAAAGTCAATAACCTTAACCAAACTGTCACCCCAAAGCCTTTATAGATCGGTTAGTAATACAAATCCCATAGTATGGGTTTCTTTGTATAGAGCAGCTGGCATTCAAACTTACATTTCCTCTTATTTTACTGCATTTCGTCTGGGTCTAGATTACTTATACAAGTAGCAGTAACAGCTTTTTGTGTATTGATTGGCCTTAAATGTTTCAACTTTCGCTTTCCTTATAAAAACTTTCAATACTATGGCAGTCTATCCACCTTAGTCTTCTCTCCGACTCAAATCAATAGCTTGGTGATTCACTCATCCAATCTCAGATTCAAGCTCCATTATAACTACTCCAGTTCAAGAGGCTGGATAATATCACCAACATAAACAATACTAATATGATTTTAATCTGAGCACATAAATCCGTTCTTAATAGATAAGTTGCATTAAATTAAAAATGAACTATATCAACTCATACAGTTCGCTTGGGTAAGTTACTTTTATTTGAGAAAATTTCGATCGTTGTTTTTCGTGTATACAGAAACTTTCTGAATATCCAGTCATTGGTGTTGTTAAATCACTTTGAATATTTCTCTTTCATAATACCATAGAAATAATCTGTGTAGTAATTTTAAAACTGGACTGTTGAAGAAAATAAGCCTCAATTATCTCATCATTATTCTGTCGTTTGTAGTGGAGTTGTATTTTTGACATCATAAATTTGATTTTCCGTTTTATAATCTATTGCTTTCAATGCACCATTACTGTATATTACTCAAAAGTCACTGGTTTTCGAACAGACCTTTTGTGAATAAGCAAACAAACTAAAAATTCTTAGAACATTACAGTGAATTATGGTCTACTAAAATGGTCTCAGTATTTCATGGAGCAATATGCATCGAAATCTCAACAAAATAACTGACAAGCGACACATTCATCAATAGTTTTTCCTGAATTTACACGAATGGCAATTGTGTTCAATTTTCTTAAATTTAAAATTCGTCAGCAAGTTTCATTTTTGTTCAAGTAAATCAGATGAAAACGATGTTTCTCTTCTTTAGATTGCATGATCGCCGCCTCTGTGTCTTAGGACTTTGTTTGATTATTTCTCTTCCGGTTGATAAACGAACTGATGCAATTGTAACATTCAGTGAAAAGTATATACCATCACTTCTACTGCTATTTTCTGGACTGAAAAAGGCGTACGCAACAAAAGCTTCCAATCAAAATGAGGATGGTAGGGCTTTTTCTCACTTCCATCCTTATTTATTTGATAACTATTTTTCCTTAATCAATTTATTGAGCGATTTTTTGGGGATTGTTGAATTTCCGTACTTTATATCGTAGGATGTCGTAGACCACCATTTAAAATCAAAGAGCATTAAACAACTTTTTCGTCATTGCAAGGGAGTCCTCCTCAATGAGAACACAGCATCCAACCATTCGGGATGGAATTTAAGACTTCACAATGGTATGGATGTCTAACTTCACTCAATTCACGATTTCGCGCAACCACGTTTCATTTTCTGTGGTAGATAATTTTCACACCCGACATGACCAAACTCCACTAGTCATGTCTTCTCACTATTATTGGATCCGAAAGTTAGTTACCACGAGTACGGGATTTCTTTAAGTGTTGGGGAAATTTGTGGCGATTGTTAAATTTTCATCGTTTACATCACGAACTGTTCGAAGTTTCTGAGTTCGACTCTCGGTTTTATCGTGAACACATACGTCTGATTTTCCATACTGGAATGAAACAGTCGTCCAGTGTTTTCTATAGTCGCGGTAATAAGTTTCAGTGCGAAGGTGGAGTATCGGGTAGACCCCTAGGGCTTACCATGTGGCATCATATATTTACGTGAAGACCGTTCAATTTTCAAGGTAGTGTACTTCGTTTACTCTGGTTGGTGCTCTTGTATAACAGGGTTTTGTTTCACAAAGTGAACTTGCCCCATCTCAAAACACGTTATCCGGGTTTATGACCAGTAGTAGTAGTAGTAGTAGTAGTAGCCCTAGAGGGGGTTCCAGGTGGAGTAATTAAATTCCTGTAATTTGTAGACAAGTACTTATCACTAATTTTCTCTTTATACTAAGTAAATATATGCTTGATTTCTCAAACACAATTGATATCTCTATCTTCTATCTGTTTCTAGATTCGGATGAAGAAGAATCTGAAACAGAGGAAGATTTAGAGGGTAAAGCTTTGGGAAGCGATGAAGATGAAGTAGACGAAGAAAGTGTTCGTTATTTAGAAATGTTAGAGGCAACTGTAAGCTTTTTTATATATTCGATGTATTTATTTTTGTTTCACTATCGCTTTACATTGATTGAGAAAAAACATGTGAATTGTTGTCTTGCCTTTTTATTTCTGGCTAATCGTTTTTATGATTTGTTTATTATTGTACTATAATATTTTTTACAGCGTCATGTTATTTAAGGCAAAATAATTAATTCACTTACTACGTACTTAGGTATGAGTCGCAATGCATGTGTAAATCTAATGATACTACTCTGTCGCCCGAACCTTTAGTCGATGGATTGGGATCAAACCTGGGACTTAGTGACTAAAAGTCGATGTCTGTAACTGATAAATAGGAACCAAATTGTTAAATAGACCTAGTTTACTCAGAACATTATATTTCACCTCAATCTTCCCAAATCAAAACCACAGTTAAAAGGAAACAGTGTGTACTCTAATAAATTCAAGCAGTAAAGATGTTAGATTTTGTATAAAATGTTTATAGAAGTTTTTTTATTCCTCGACTCTCCCATTGACTCGGATCATTTTAAAATGCTCCAATCAGTGTATTCTGATTTTAGCCTTTGCTAAATCTACATTAGGTAGAACTGTGTCCTTCTAACAATTTGTGCTATTATCCACCCTTATTCCTATAAAATGATGATCCCAGTTACATTTTCTCCTGAACATTTAACACTTAATAACAAGTTATCGTGGATTAAAAGATAAACTCATGGTGCTGTGTTTCTTTGTAAAACGTACATTAGTTAACATAGTTTAATCCTTACTATTATATATACTACATCAATGTTTTTTTTAGTTTCTCTCATTCTTTAAATTGTTTGAAAATCCAATTTTAATAGAATAACCATAGTTCAATGAAACAAACCATTTTTTTCCTATGTGATATGATTAATTGTCACGTTTCCAGTAAAGCACACCCCTTTTTACTAATGCGATCACGATATTTCAGCATTCTAAATAAAAGCAGTTATAAACAGTCATTCATTAGCGAGTCATGTGTTTACTTGATTCAAGGGTTATTAATTTGCATGGAAAAATAAGAAAAAACCCATTTTCATCAATCGACAGTCTAATTACGTTGTGCTCACTGTTGAAGAAAAAACAGCATCTTGTAATATAAATGCTAACACCACTTCATGCAATAGTCACTTTCACTTTTTTTTTCAAGTGGTGTTCGTCAGGTTTGTCCACTCTCTCCATTCTTGTTCAACTTTGTCGTAGACGTACTTTTAGAGATAACACTTTCCTCGTCTAGATTTCCAGGGGTTGAACTTCTACCTGGAGGTTCACTTGTTGACTTAGAATATGCTGATGACATAGTTTTATTTGATGGAGACGCTGACAAAATGCAGTCCTCTGACCACTCTAAGCAACAATGCAAGCACGTTCGGGATGCGATTCTCCCCCTCGAAATGTAGGATGTTGCTTCAGGATTGGGTTGCATTGACACCCGAACTAATGATAGGGCGTGAAGTAATTGAGCGTGTCGATCGCTCCACTTATCTTGGAAGTCTCATCAGCCCTTGTGGTCTGGTGTGTGACGAAATCTCAGCACGGATACAGAAGGCTCGACTAGCTTTTACCAACTTGCGTCATTTATGGCGTAGGCGAGATATCCGTCTATCAACCAAAGGAAGTGTTTACTGCGCAGCCGTTCGTCCTGTCCTACTTTATGGCAGTGAAACATGGCCGGTAAGAGTAGAGGATATTCGTAGGTTACTAGTATTTGATCATAGGTGTCTTCGAAACATAGCTCGTATATCATGGGACCACCGACTAAATAATGCAGTTGTTAGGAAACGGGTACTGGGTAAGGATGGCAAATCAATTGATGACGTATTGAAACTTCATCAGTTGAGATGGCTGGGACACGTGTTACGTATGCCCAACGACCGGCTGCCTCGACGTGCGATGTTCAGTGGTATAGGAGTAGGTTGGAAGAAAGCTAGAGGCGGCCAGACCAAAACATGGCACAAATCTATGAAGTCACTGACAAGTGGTCTGAGTCATGTTGGTAGGTGTAGACTACCTGGTTGGGGACCACGAGATGATAGCAATCGATGGTCAGAGACCCTAAATGACATGGCTCAAAATCGTTTGCAATGGCGCAGGTGTATCCACTCTTTGTGTTCTCCCAAATTTTGATCTCCTTATTCCTCCTTGTCTCTTTTTTTCTCTTCCCAAATTTATTTCGCTGTATTATACTCCTTGAATAACTTCTTCAAACCCTAATTTTTCTGATTACAGCTTATAATTTCACTACATCTAGCACTACGGGATCTGAATCGACCACTGCATCTCTGTGCTAATGTGGTGTGGCAACTCGAACTGATGTACGTACGTACGTACGAAGTTCTACGTTGTTACTGACTGATTGAGTCCAATTTTTTAAACTCAGTCACAACCTGGTTAATAACATTTTGATGTTCCTATACGTTTTAAATCTTAATTATAGAATTTAACATATCCATTTTCAGTTTGTTACTGACATGCGATCGGTTTTTACTTTAGAAAGATTCAGATGACGACGACGACGATGATGATGAAGATGAGGACGATGAGGAAGAAGAAACACTCGAGGCGTTCGACACACAGATGGATAAGTCTGAATGTGATATGGATGAATATGTAACGTTTTATCGTGTAATGACTGAATTGGAACGATCTGATTATGCATGGTATAGTCAGTTGATCAATCATCTTAGTGAAGAACAACAAAATGATCTCAAAGGAGTGGTGGATACTGCTCTAAAATGTATCCAACAAAAAGGTAAATTTATATATATATATATATATATATATTCTCTTCATATTTCATGTGTTCAAGGAAATAATTATGAGGTACTGATCATATTTAATTCATAAAAACGCATAATGTGATATCCTTCAACTCTGTGTTTGTTCATAATGACATCTTTAATGGTCTCGTGTTTTTACGAATCATGATATTTTAGCGCTTAAATATGCTACAGCAAAACTCTATTGTATCTTCCAAAAAAGCGTTACGTTGTGGTCATTCATTGTTCCCACTTTCCTATACGAATTAGTTTAACAGGTAGTGAATGGTTTGGTCTTTTCGAGACTGACTAATCGTGATTATGTCAAGTGTGCACATATCAACTGACAACGACAACTGGATTTGTGAATAAATTTGTTTTATTATCCAAGCTGACTTAATAAACGTAGAGCGTGACTGTAGTGTGAATTAGCTTAAGTTGACACAACACATTAACATGTCGAGATAAAATGGTGTAGAAATGATCGTAAAAAAGACTTCATATTAAGAATGTAGTTGAAAATGATTGAATATAAAAGTATTTGGAAAGACATAATGAATACGTCTGGCTATTGTAACGGATTCTGAACAGTGTGACCTGACATCTGTTGGTTATGATCGCGCCAATCATGCAGTTTCCACCTACCAACATGACAGATTAATAACCGGTCAGTCAGTGGCTTCATGAACTGATGAAACTTTCTGATATAGTTGTCGTTGTTTTGATCTGTTTCTGACGTTCTACGTTGGGTATGACTAACTATCCAGTATGCGTGGTCTATAGAGTATCAGGTACGAAATGGAGAGGACGAAAAACTAATGTCCGACGCCTTTACCGAGTTGATAAATACGAATGATCCACTCAGGGGAGTTGAAAAACCCTGATTACAAACCAATAGCGCACATAGGCTACAGGATCTTAAGGGAAAAGATGGCGTATGAACCTATTGTTCGACACCGGCTACTATTGGACTACATTTGCTGACGTTACTACACTGCCTTGGATCAGACCTTTAGGTCGAAGGTTCCGGGCGTGCCCCCCTAAGAAAACCACCTGTTTCAGGCTGGACACCCGGGCAGTATCATAGCCCACACACAAATCAAATGAGATTTGTGTGGCGCATATGTATTCGGTGCTCATTTGTACCAATATATATATGTCCAAATAAAATAAATGCAGCGTTGATACACGACACCATTCATCATGGTACTGTAAGGATCTATTATCAGAGTGCAAATTCTTCACATAGTTGAGTGTGAATCAGAATACATTTGAATCATTATGGTTGTTTGTAATTTACTCACTTGATTTCAAGATAAATCTATTTTCAATTTAGTTCAGATTGTCTCCATTATACACATAGAGTATATCTCGTCTGTTTCTCATAAATCTAACAAAATATTTTCCAATTTATATTTCAGAGTCTAAAATTATTGAACAAGCTGGAGGATATACTTTTTCACCAACTATCCCTAGTAGCTTTGATTTCGGTTCACCCAATGGACAACTTAAATAATCTATGTGTTATAAACTCTGTTGTAAGGAATTGAGTATTAGTTTATGATACTTTTTTCTCTCTGTATAGGATATGTTATAGTCTAATAAACATGTAAACAAAACTTTCATAATTACAATTTACTTAACTCCATTAAATGTGCGCGCTACCCATTATGCTATTTTTATTTCATAAATAATCTGGTAACTATAATTTTGTTCTCTCTTCAGTTTGTTTTCCTTTTATCATTGTACACATGTATTCCTCTTCTTTGTCTTCGTCTTCTGTATGCTCTTATTGTCAATGTTTACTATTTCTAACTTTGTGTTTCTTGTTCAACTGACACTAATCCATGATCTTTGTCTGTAATGCTTCTATTCTTCTCCCCCATTCGTAAATATTCTATATTGCACACACACACATATATATTTGTGTTTTGTTTTTCTTTTTTTCCATTAATCAATGCATGAAATGAAAAACTAACCAAATATATAATTCGTGTTCAACAGAGATTCGATTGTGACTTATTTGTTGGTAAATATTTTTCTTATGTATTCAAAGAAAACTGTGTTTTTTTGTTTGTTTTTATATCCCTGTTTTTTCAATATTAGTTCCCCCTTCTTTCTTTTTTTTGAGAAAAAAGAAAGAAAAAAAGATCTTGTTAACGACTGCATTATAAAACTGGGGTTAATTTTCTTGCTTATTTTTGCTCTTTTTTAAGACATTCAATTTCTCAGATCACTGCTTTTTGAAAGAAAAATATATATAATTAGTACAGTGTTATGATCCTCTATGAAATTTGATTTGCTTTTACAAAATAAAATCTATTCAGTTTTGCTTTGTGGTGTATTCTTTGTTTGTTTAACGATTAAATTACTTGATGTGATGTACTGAATAACTCCGCCTGTAGCTCTTCTAGAATTACTGCCGGTCCCAAGTTCAGGCATGGGGTTAGCGACCCTGTCCCATAGAAAACTAACTCGCTAAAAAAAACGCTAGCTAGAAAAAATATATCAAACCATTTAATAAAAGTGCTGGTGGGCCTATGCTCCACCACGAAGAGTAACAGGCGTAAGTAAGTAAGATGTATTGAACATTTCGTAGAGTTTAGTGTTTCAATATCGTTTGAAGTAATTGTCTCATTGTATGTTAATATTTAAGTATAGTGAATAGTAATATGGAAACTGTGAGTACATAATCGTAACAACTCATTTCGAATTTTGTATTGGGTTTTTCTTAAAACGAGATTAATGAGAAATTTTTTCAAACATATGTAGATTCGGTATAAATGCTTTGAATTTCTCATAACTATTGGGATTATACACACTGATTTTATCGCTCATGAAACTACTATTTTCTAACTGTACATCGGGTTAATTACATTTCTTTATGCGGAATTAGTATTGCAACTTGGCATGTTCAGTGTTTTTAATTTTCCATGGATTCGGTTATTTAGCGTTACTACTTGCAGTAGAAATTAAATTATGATCGTGAGATAATAGTGCTAATTGATTGGGAGCTTTACTGTTTGATTCTGAGATGAAATGTGAATGATTTTAGAGAGATTGTCTTCCTAGAGCTGAGTGGTTTATTCATGACTATTTTTACACCAGATGGTAAGCATGTACATTATGACTATTCCATCAATCTTAAGAACTGCAACACCTTCAAATACACGTGATCGCCAAATTATGTTCCAGATGTTAAATCGATTAATAATAACTTATACAATATTTACATTCGAAAAACAGTAGTTATTTGCACTACAGCAATAATACCTTGTGTGATTGTAGGCTCCAACTGTACAATCGTCATTACTTTGTAGTATAGGAATGTACTTTTAGTTAAATCCGATTAATCTGTACGACAAATGAACATTTTTGTGGTATAGTTTAGTGATTCCCTGCAGCACCCACATACGACCTCATCAGTGATCGAACGCAAAGGCAAACTAAAACGAGACAAATATACACTGTCTTCCTGGTTTTTATATTTGTCCAGCTGATGTCAGTTCGTGATAGGAATAAACTTCAATTGTGGAGTTGGACAGCTGTAATTAATGCAACATCAATTTTTATTTAAAGTGTTTTTATGGAGATCGGATTAATTTTTAGACATTCGTTAGACTGAGCTCATTCGAGGTACTATCGAAAATCAAAAGAACACTGAATATTTGTTTCGCCCTAGTATCGGACTTATCAGCAGTGTACACCCACGAACCGATCAGAGATTTAACTGAGGACCTTCAAGCCTTCCGGCATTCAGAGATGTCTGAAGTTCTAGTGATAGATCATGAGAAGTGGAGTTCAGATATTTCAGGAGTGAAACATTTGTTGCCAATGTCATCAGATAGTGGTTGTGCCGTATCGCAAATTCATTGAGGTTGGAATTATACCATGAGACGCCGACCCAGGAGTTCTGATGGCTAAGTGTACACTGGTATGCCCCCAAATGCCCTCATATGGCCACGCGTATACAGCCACTGTCAGGGAAGTCCTACTCACTTCCTTCTCGCGGCTGGGGGGGGTTGCCTACGAAAATGAGAGGATGGAAAACCTATGTTTGCCGCTTTAACCGGGCTTGTGGAGACGGAGAATCAACCTACGGGAGTTAGAAAACCCTGCATGCAAACCAATGGTGTACATGGGCTCCAGTATCCTGAGGGAACAAATGATGTATGAGCCAATTATTGGTCACGGGCTACCATGGGACTGGATCTCCTGATGTTGCTCCACTGCCTTGTAAATTAGATCTTTAGGTCGAAAGCTCCAGGCGTGACCTCCTAAGAAAACCATCTGCTTCGGTCTGGGCACCCTGACAGTATCACTTCCCACACACAAATCAGGTGACTTGTCTGACACATATGCATTCAGTGCTCCTTTGTACCAATATTTTTGTGTTCAAATAAATAAACTGAAACTTGAATATACTGATTTCTATCCTTTATGGGGTGATGGGTGTGCCGTGCTGAGAAGTCCTATACTAGTATGAGACAACTGTTCAGTTCTACCTGGTTTCCTATGGTATGCCAGGTGATATCATTCTATGATGTCTACTATGTACAGTTCCGTATGGATATTAGAGTTCAGCTAACTTACTAAGACTTTAGGGAAGTTTTACTGTTATAGTCGATTTGCATGTAATATATAACAAGCCATTCAAATTTACCATCAGTCATGAAATTGAGACCATTTACCTGTATATTTTCATTCTTATACAAGTTGCCACTTGCACAAATTTACAGTTTGCCTCACTAATTAAATTAAGTATTTCATTACAACTATAAATAGTTATGAAAAAAAAACATTGTCAGTTCCAGCTCCTAGTCACATTGTTGCTACTTAAAAATAATATCTGAACTTAATTCATTAGCCAAAAATTTATTACACAACAGCAGTAGTTATATGAAAAACATCAACATTTTATTTACATAAATATTTGTTTAATGACGTACCAAACACTAAACATTTTTTACAAGGTCAGCCAAATTTGAAACTCTGAATTTACGTGCCAATAACTTTTGATGTTAAATAAACTAATTATGTAAGATTAATCTTAGCCATGTCGGTAGATGCAGACTACTTGGTTGGGGTCCGTGTGACTGTCGTAATCAATGGTTGGTGACTGAGTGACATGGTTCAGAATCGATCACAATGGCATAGGTGTATACACTCTCTATCTTCCCTTAAACTATGAAATTAAAACCGCTTCATATCTTTCTTTCTACGTACTAATTCTTTCTTCCTGTACTATATCCTTATATGCAATCCTTTTTTATATATTAGCACCATTGAATTAACTACTTCGATTAATCTGGTGTTGATCTTGTTGTGCTAATGAGGTATGGCAACTTGGACCGATTCATATATGTGCGTGGTCCTACGTTGTAGTTGACTGACTGTAAGATTAATCATAGTGACGATTTTCAGCAGAACGCTTATCTGTTAATTATTTCTTCTAAACATAAACCACTGAATAACCCTATATTTGGCTTAGAACCATAATCGATGTATAAATTCTATTAATATTACTCGACTGTCGGAAGCCAGCTAAGTGGAAGGGGTTTGAACTCTTACTTAAGACCTACTGGCTGGGAATTGTATAGCCCAACCACTAAGCTACTTCTGAATTACATTTACTTATTCTGATCATTATTAAATTCTTACTAAATTTTATTATCTGATAGTAACTTACTTCAGTTTCTTGGTTTTAATATGCAAAAGTTTCTGAAGCATAACTTCATGTCCTAGTCACTGAGATGGTTTACAAATAATTTGTTCTACTCCTGGGACCATCGAGTAAGTAATGCAGTTGTTAGGAAACGGGTACGAGGTAAGGATGGCAAATCAATTGATGATGGCTGGGACACGTGTTACGTATGCCCAACGACCAACTGCCTCGACGTGCGATGTTCAGTGGTATAGGAGTAGGTTGGAAGAAAGCTAGAGGCGGCCAGACCAAAACATGGCACAAATCTATGAAGTCACTGACAAGTGGTCTGAGTCCTGTCGGTAGGTGTAGACTACCTGGTTGGGGACCACGAGATGATAGCAACCGATGGTTAGAGACCCTAAATGACATGGCTCAAAATCGTTTGCAATGGCGCAGGTGTATCCACTCTGTGTTCTCCCAAATTTTGATCTCCTGATTCCTCCTTGTCTCTTTTTTTTCCTCTTTCCAAATTTATTTCACTGGATTATACTCTTTAAATAACATCTCCAAACACTAATCTTCCCGATTACTGCTTATACTCTTATTACCTCTACCACTACGGGATTTGAATCGACTACTGCATCTCTGTGCTAATGTGGTGTGGCAACTCGAACTGATGTACGTACATACGAAGTTCCACGTTGTTACTGACTGATTGAATTTGTTCTATCAATACATTGTTATTAGAAGTCGAATTACTCACTGATAACATTAAATGAATATCGGTAAGTAATTGAATTGTAAAGATGAAGAATTTCGAATTTTATCTCTGAACAAAGTGCTGTGGTGTTACCTGACTGACTTAAACATATTAAGTTCATTCTCATTTTGTTTCATGAACGGACGATAATGAGGATGCCGATTACCAATGTAGGTGATCTGTGACGTTGATTGCAATCCTACTGAAGTTGGATGGGAATCATGTGACCTCCTGGCTCACGTTGAAGTCACTCTTCGCGGTTATTGCTTAACCTGGATTATGCTATCGTGATGACCAGGCGACTGGCTAGAATAAATACTCTCAATGGATAACAGTATCAACAGTAAACAGAAATACAAGGCGGAACGATTGTCTCATGCACCTGATCATGGCAAGCCATTGATTCATGCGCGTTGGTTCTTGATGTTGATGAGGATCGGCAAACTGTTCGATATTCGATAACCTGCCTGCCGGATAATTTGGCTAGGGCCCAGTGACGTTTCACTATCCTTTCAAAGAGTTTCCATTTAAGGTGAAGCAACTTCCGATTTCCTTGCTGTGTAATGATTCTTCACTTGATGCCAGTCTACCGTGAGTACAGTTGTCATGATTCCGCTATCTTTTTATAGTGATTGATCTCTGAGTGGTAATCAATATCATGTATATCTAGTCCCCAGTCTTGATCTGATTCCACTAATCAAGTTGCAATGTGTGTATTAGTTTCAGTGACTCGACACCAAATATACAATGCTTATATGTAGGATATTTGAAGGTAGTCGGCAAGGCACCCTAGACTTAAGTTTCGTACTATTTGGCACTTTTCATTAGGGTCTGTTAACTACCTGGCATCGAAACATAGCGCACTCGGAATAACAATCATACTGCAACATGATTGATTAGTGAATACTAAGGAACAGACAAAAATGACAC